AAGAATCATTCAATTTAACCTGATTTTCCCTATTTTTTTAAAGCTCAAGCCAATGAATCTGGATGGATTCATGACTTGGTGAATTTAGATTAAAAAATTATTCTAAATAATAAAAATAACATGATAATCTAATAATAACAAAATATTTTGATTTTTTTGAGATTTTAGGCATAAAATCATGATTTTGATAAAAAAATAAATTTTTAAAAAATTCATTAATAACAAATACGAAAATTAATAATAAAATGATAAAAAAATGTTATTTTTGTGATTTGAAATTAATGCAAAAAGTTAGAAATAAAGAAAAAACAAATAAAAAAGAAAAAAAGCACTAAAAATGAGAAAGGTGGAATTCGAACTCATGACCTTCCCCCTTGTAACTCCTCAAACATGTTATTCTATCATTGTGCCATTTTATTTATTCCAAATAAAGTGACACCAGAAAGCATATGAAGTGTGGGCAAATTTTGGGGTATGACAATTTCCCGTATTTAATCAGCTTCAAACTGAGAGGACGATGACATTGAGTCTTTATCTTCTCATGGTAGAAAATGATTAAATATAAGAAGAACCCTAATTTTGACCGCGGAGCTAATAAATTCTAGATTTGAGTAAGGATTGAACAGTCCTTAGTGCTCTGTTGGTATCCAACTTTGATGTATCCTTGATAATACATTATTGATTAATTTCAACTCATCCAGGTGAAGCTTGCATACGATTCCTATAATCATATAAATTAGGCAGGACTCTGGCGATTCTCTGGTCGTTGTCTGAAAAAACTTGGTAGAACCCCTGATTGAACTTCTAATAAATACATGGTAAAACTCTTCGATGAATTCCCTGATACAACTTCTGATGGAACCCTTGATGATAAAACCCTGATGAAACTCTTTGACAAGTTTCTGGTGGAACACCTTGATTAATCCCTGATTATCAGTTTCAAACCCCTCCGGGTGAAACTTCCATACGATTTCTATGATCATCTGATCATGTTACTGGAATCGGGTTGAACTTTAGTGATACCCTGATCACTTTGGATGAAACCCCTTTGCTAAAAACTCTGGTGAAAACCATTTAATAAAATTCTAGTGAAACCCCCTTTGATAAAACCCTTTTGATGAAATCCCTTGAAAAAATCTTAATCTTTGTGCAACAATCTTAAAACACTTTTATTTTGAGACTGAGGGAGTACACAACAATTTCATTGATTAATGTGTTTGTTTCACTAGTTCTCTTGCGTAAAGGTTGAGACATATGTTCATTGATCATTCATTTATGTTGTATAGCCAAGATTTACATTGAGAGAGTGTATTTCTTTAAATTTATAAAAGCCTAGGATGGATATCTACTGTCCAGCCGAAAAATATCAATTACGGACCATCAATCCAAATTTTTGTTAGAATAATTACTCTTGATATTTTTTTAATAGATACTTTATCATTTATTATTAATACATGTAAAGATGTATTAAGAGACATAAATATATAGATTTTTATTTATTTTTATTTGTAATGACATTTTTATCGAATAATATAAGATATAAATGAACTTATTCGTGCGAATGTCATTTTTTAATTACAATCATGCCATTCTTTCCTCGCAACAATCTTTTGCACTTCTCGACAAATAACCTATTCATACTATTGAGATTTTGTTTTTGTTTTCAACATTATATAAGCATGAATCACAAATAACCTATTCATACGATTGAGGTTTTGTTTTTGTTTTCAACATTATATAAGCATGAATCACGCACATCTACGTAAAATGCATCACCTAAAAGAAATGTGGTTCTCAAACACAATAAAAAGACCATAAAAGTGGGAATAAAGTAAAAATGAAAAAAAAAATCTAATAACTCAATAAGTTCTGAATTCTTAGATCTTTGAGGTGATTAACTTTTGTTAGTGATATCTTTGATATATTATCCACTCTTTAACATATATATCTTCTCGAGGTGATAATGATTTATCCGAAATCAATTTTAAATTAGACCAAAAATAAGAATTGATTTTTAAAACAAATCCAAATTATTAACACATTTTGAAGATCAAATTTTGTTTTATAGTATTGAAAGTTGAAACTATTTTTTAATCTAATATGAAATAAAACAAATTTTTATTTTTAAAACTAATTCTCCCTATAAAATTTTTTTTTTTCTTAAGAGAATTCACAATGAAGTCCAAGAGAAAATATTTTTACAAGTACTCCCTCCTATTATTTGAAATTCTCAAATACCACTTTTGTAAAATATATTCTTTCTTTAGTTACCATATTTCGTTTTAATATAAAAAAAGTTTTTAAATGAATTTTTTCTAATCAACATTATTCATTTTATATGTAAAGATAATTTTAGTATATATATATATATATATATATATATATGAAATAGGGGCATTAAAATGGAATAAATATGAATTTGGGTTATTAAAACAGTTCATTATTCAATAAAAACTCATTAATTATTTTAAATTTTTTAATTAAGTCAATTAGTTAATGATAAAAATCATATGTTATATTCTTAATACATGCCTGTTCATCCATAATTATTTTAAATTATTTTCAAAATTTAACATAAATATATTGACAATTAGTTTTTTAGTATAAATTTAAAATTAAAAATCACCCCATAACAAAATTCATGATTTAACTCTATATTATAGTATTTTATTTATTTTTGAATCTTTGATTTAAAAATATTAATAACTTGATAAGGATAAATAAATGTTACTAATAAAAGTTAAACTAACAACTTAGAAATATTAAAAAAAATCTAACAGAATAAGAACTACACAAACTCCAAACTACCTCAAAAACACATTTAAAACAATAACTTTCTCAACTTCACAATAAAACAAGAAAAAAAAGGATAACGACCATGTCCACGTCTAGACTTAGAGAAATAGAATTCAACAACAAAAGATTAAAATAGAAATAAATTCTAAACCAAATAAAACTATAGTTATTTGAATTCACTTTTATCTCAAACACATAATAGAATTTTTTAACCAATCAAAAAGAAAAATGTAAATTAAATTCTTTTTAATATATAATTTTCAAATAAGAAGACATGCTTTGTATTCATAGATATGCATCAAAATATTAAATTATTTGAGATTTCTAAAATAACGAAAATTACTCGGTAATAAACTTTAATAAATAAGTATATAATTCATTGCATATAATGTAACTATATAAGTAATTCACATTTTAATACATTTTTATTGGAGTATCTCTTGTGCCACGAGAACTATTTTTATTATAGTATTTTGACTGAGAAATTTATATTTTTTCATTATCATATAGTTTTTCTTTTTATCATTATAAAACAAAAGTAATCTAAAAGAAAAAAAAACTTTAAATATTTTTTTAGAACTTCAATAGTGTATAATGGAAAATGAAAAAGAGATTATGAATAAACTAAAAAAAATACAATTGATTATAATATGAATGACATTTTTTTAAAATTATTATAAAACATTAAAGGGAGAATAATATGTACTCCATTAAAAGGGAGAATAATATGTACTCCATTAAAAGGGAGTATAAGATGTACTCCACCCAAATACAAGAAACCTAATACCCAACTTCCTAGAACATAGGAGAGGAAACCTAATACCCCAACTTCCTAGAACATAGGAGAGGTAATTAGAAGAAGAAAAAATTTTACAAGCTAATTTTTTCCAAGTCCAAGATCTATAAATAATAGTACACTCGTTGAAACTAAAAACAGCCCCTTTGACAAGAAAAATTCTACTAATTCCTCCAAAGACAAGACCAAATTGTTTCCTAAAAACAGCCCCTTTGAAAAGAAAAATTCTACTAATTCCTCCAAAGACAAGACCAAATTGTTTCCTAAGCAAGACATGACCTTCTAATTTCTCCAAAGACAAGACCAAATTGTTTCCTAAGCAAGACATGACCTTGGCCCATATTCTTCTTGTGAATACACACTCACTAAATAGATGCAACAAGATTCATCGTATCTAAAACAGAAAACACAGCATAAATCTCTAGCTTCCATCAATATACCCAGCTTCCATTAATATACCCCTCTTAACCAATTTCTCCTTAGTAGGGATCTTATTGATGATGATAAATCTCCAACTAAAAATATTTGACTACACCTTTAACTCCCGTAGAAACGTTATAGCATGTAACATGTCTACCGTAAACAGTAAAGAAATTTTACCCAAAAATGGTTGTTATCTTCCTTCGTCCATTTGAAGACATCGCTCGTGTGTTGCTGCATAGTCACCTTCAACATCATCTCTTTTATTTCCTTCGAATGAGTAGCATCGAAACCTTCAAGATTATGCACAATGTTATGGAAATGCCATTCCCAAACCTCACTATTCCACACATCAGCCTCTGCCACAGACATGTTTTTATCCACTGTAGCCGCGAAAGTATTCGGATAAGCATTCTTTAGGGAGTGATTGTCCAGCCACATAGCCTACCAAAAAGACATCATGCTGCCATCTTTGATCCTGCAACGTAAAAAATCAGCAAAACCAGACTGACCAGATTCAGTTTTAATATCCGTCAAAACCAAGTCCCTCCACCAGATGAAGTTTCCTTTGTTCACCAGCGAACTATCACCAATAATCACTTTGACCTCTGGATTTGTATATCTATGTCTGAGTAATATGCTCCAAACCCGTTTGTTTCCTTCAATACTCTCCACTTCCACTTTAATAATAGAGCTTTGTTGAGAGCTTCAATATCTTTAACACAAAGACCACCTTTATCTTTAGGATTGCAAACCACCTTCCAATTTACCCAATGGACTGCTCTTCTATTTCGCTGCTACGCCACAGAAAATTGCTTTGGATGCGCCGAATCTCACGTAGCACATTGGCTGGAGCTTTGTAGAAAGATAAGGTGTATATTGGAATGACGTTTAGAACCGAATTAATTAGAACTACTCTTCCTGCGAAAGATAGATGCTTTCCTCTCCAAACAGCAATTCTGCTCCTCATGCTCTTGATTAAATCCTTTCACATTTCTAATTTCTTGGGACTTTCCCCTGCCATCACACCAAGGAATTTGAATGGCAAGCTATCAACATTGCACGCCAAGAAGGAGGATGTTGCGTAGAGGAACCAGTCGCCAATATTAATGTCGTACAACTTACTTTTGTAGAAATTTACCTTCAGCCCCTACATCATTTCGAAGCCCCTCAGGATTTCTTTATTAATGCTTCACAAATTTTCACTACTTCAGCCTCTCACAACAATAGTGTCGTCCGCGAATTGTAACATGTCTACGGAATCTTCGTCGTTGAACTGAAAACCTCTAAAGTCCCCTAGCTCCACAGCCTTCTTCTTCAAACCAGTTAAACCTTCCATGACAATAACAAACAAAAATAGTGACAACAGATCGCCTTGACGTAATCTTCTTTCCATCTTGAAGTCCTTAGTTGTACTTCCGTTGACTAGCACTGACATTGCACTTGTGAAAACGCACCCTTTCATCCAATTGATCCATCGAACACCAAATCTCATCTAAGCGAGCATACACCTCAAGAAATTCCAATTGATATTGTCGTACGCTTTCTCTTGTAGTCCACATTTAATAACAAGCAGCTTCTCTTCTCTCTTTTCGCCATGTTCATAACCTCATTGACCAAAAGAACTTCATCTGCAATGTTTCTTCATACTCTAGATAAAAAGAAATATCTTTCATTAGCAATAAGATTTGGAACTTATACATCAACACAAATAATAATCTTCTTGATTACTATAAGTAAATTGAAATGATTAAATATTTTTATTTTATTTAAAGAAGATAGCAAAAATTTATAGCGGAAGAAATATCAAAGAAAAATGAATCTAAAGATGATGACAAATTTGATAAAGATACAAAGGCTTACACTCAACAGAATGACAATAAGATGGACTCATCCAAAAAATCTAAAAATATAGGAGTCTACTTATGTCTTATGGTAAATTATGAAGAAGATGATGTATATATATATATTTTTAAAATAACTTATGATTTGAACTACTAGTCCCTGTTTGTAAAAGACTAAGTGACTGACTATTCAATTAAGGTTGGAGAAGTTTTTCTCTAACTAAAATACTTTCACCCTTGACTTAAAATATAAAAATTTAAAGGACATAAAATTTCTTAAATAGAAATAAAGTTTTCTAAGTGATGTTACTCTTTCTAGTGATAATTTTTAGAATAATCAATTTATTCAAATTAAATACCAAATAAAATAATAATTGAAATTATTTCTCAAAGTAGTTACATTTTAAGGTTGTGTCGCCAAATGAAATGACGAACGAGTGTAAAAGGTAAAGAAGTTGTCATTTGGACCGGCCACAACACATGAAACATCAAAGAATTCGCCAATACATTTGGCGAATTAGTCCATTTTCTTTTTTTTTTTCTTTTGTTTTTAATTTTGTTTTGTTTAAATATAATGTTTGATATAGTTTTTGATATAATTTTTTGTTTTTTGATATTGTTTAATAAAAATTAGTTTAAATATAATTTTTAAATTTTTTGATATAGTTTAATAAAATAATAAATATATTTGTGTATAATTTTTAAACATAATAAATATAAATAGGTTTAATGTCGTTTTGTTTAATGTTTAAGTTTTATAAAATAATAAAAATTGGTTTAAATATAATTCTTAAATTTTTTGATATAGTTTTATAAAATAATAAATATATTTGTATATAATTTTTAAACATAATAAATATAAATAGGTTTAACTTTTAAAACATAATAAATATATGATTAACATATACTTTTAAAAAATAATTCGTATATAATTAAATATATAATTTTAAAATATATATTTGTAGGTCACCTTTGAATTTTGATATTTTTAAATCTTACGTTGTAAAATTTTGATATTTGTTGAAAAAAGTATTTAAATTTTGTAAGAGTATTTTAGGCATATCATATGGCGTCCGTACTATTTTATTTTTCTATAAATACGATTGCACACACATATTTTTTCACAACAATTTATACCAAAAGACTAAAGTCTTAATAATTTTGAGTGGAGTGGAGTCTAGAATGTCTGCATTTCTAAATCAACGTTCTTCGTCGTCGTCATCATCATCGGAGGAACCGTTTCCAACATTTCCTCTAATGAAAAGAAATGCCCTAGTTTATTTTTCAGCAGCAAAGTCTCCGATGAAGGTGCTACTGTGGAATACGCAGACGTTGGAGCATTTGCATAGGGAACTGAACCGCTGGCTAGAAGGAGATATTGCTGCAGGTGAAAAGATTAGGAAAATTGAGAGGTTGGTCGAGGAGTCAGGGAGAAACGGAGTTACCCGTGAATGGAGAAAAGTGGAAAATGATGCTGGTGTCCTTGTGATGATGTTAACACCAAAGAAGAAAACAATGATGGTTGTGATATCGTAGACACCTTGATGCATTGTTCTATTTTATGTCAGTTTGTTGTTGTTATTTTCAGAATGTTGTTGTGATATTAAGTTATGTTTGTTTAATTTATGTTGCTTGCTAATTGTATTCGGTTAAGAATGCTTTAAATGGAATGAAATTTGCTATTGATTTAAAGGGACACAGTTACATTAGACACTATGATCTTGTGCTTGATCCTACGTTAGGACATTTTATACGATTGTGTCCTGGTTGCCGACTCGAACTACATAATCTTACCATCTTGTTTGCGGTATCCATCCCCGTTCGAATGTGTGTGCTGTTAAGGCGATCCTTTTTATTTCTTCGCATTAAATCATTATGCCAGACAATTTCGCCTTCGTATTGAGGCCAATTGTCCTCCTTTGCCACCACCTGAAAGCTACATGTGTAGACATTGCATAGACTTATCACTTGGTGAACTGTAGAAAGAAGGTTGGTTGGACCCTGGCGCACCTTCGAACATGCTGCTATAACATGAGAGCAAGGCATACGAAATGCCTGAAACTTCCCACAATCACACCAGCTCCTATCCAGTTCAACCCGGTAACATCCCCTAGGCCTTCCTTCGTTGTGATCAATTGACTCGGCAACACTGAACCAACATTTATTACGATCAAAGATTGAAACCACATGTGTGTTGGCTTTGGCAGCTTCGTCTTTCATGAATGTTGTTGAACTATTACTGTACAACTGGCCAGATTGTAATACTGAATCCTACTTCGTACGTCTTCTATCAAAGAGTGCGCCTAGCCTAAAATATGTTACCCTTACCAAGGCAGTTATCGGTAGGTTTTGGATTCCCTTGTGTTAGCTCTCAATTTTCAACGCTAGTTGATTTCAGAATCACCTCAAGTCAAAATATCAATTTGAAATATGTCAATCTTTCGACACAATCAGAGAACAATCCAAGTCGCAGAGAGGTGGACAAAGCTACTAAAATTTGCTAAGTGCTGAGAAGTGCTCGACAAGGGTCATGCTAAGAAGAACGCGCAGAAGTGACCAAAATGGGAGGGAGATATTAAGTGTTTAAAATTCAAACCAAGAGTGGACGGACGTGGGAACGGTTGAGATAGTGGAAAAAGCGCCAAAAGGGATACGTTGTGAAGCCTCAACCGTCATGTAATAGTTATTTTCTAGTACTATAAATAGTTGTCATTTTTATGTAATAAGGGTGTTCATTCATTTTATACTAGTCACTCCAAACAACTCAAAGTACCCGCGTGTAGAGAAACAAGTTAACGAGAATGTATGTGATACAACACCAACCCCTTTTCATTAATGCAATTTACTTTCCTTTACCCTTTATGCACCTTTACTCATTTTGCACTTTAACTTTCAGCTTTTACATTTAAACCATTTTACAAACTTGTTTCCCTGGTCGAACGTGGAGTTCAGATTAGAATTATTTTATGCCATTTAACTTTCCTGCATTTTTAATCTTTCGCCCATTTATTTCCAAAGCTATTTACCTTCTTGCAATTTAACTTCCAAAGATCTTTGGTCGAACGTGGAGTTCAGAGTAGAATATTTTGCACATTTATTCTCAAAGCACTTTACTTTCTTGCACATTTATCTTCAACGTTATTTACTTTACAAAGACTTTATAGTCGAACGCGGAGTTTGATTGTAATATCTCGCCCTTTACTTTACAACATTTAATTTTAAGCTTTTACATTACTGCACTTTTACATTCTTGCTTTTACTCTTCGACGCATTACTTGCTTTCTTTTAAATCTTCAAGTCATCTTACTTTTCAAAAGGTTTCACAGTCAAACGTGGAGTTCAACTTAAGGTCTTTTGCACGCTTAACACATGTTCTAGGATTTAGTATGTTCGATCCTGCAAGTTAGTCAATTTTACCCTAAATTGATAGACCAACGGTTGTTTACCAAAATTCACAGTAAACACCTTAAAAACAAAATTCATTGATTCAACGAGGTTAGTTGTCATGTGGCCCCATTGCACCCCATTGTCATATGCCCGTGTCCATTTCTCTTTATCAATGTTATCAATCCATCTTAATGCATCTGTGTTTGTTAGTCTGATCTCGTCACGGTAGTGTTTGAATGTGGGCTCTGTTAGTGCATATGCTACGTTCACAACCTTCTTCCTTAGTGTTTTGTCTCTGATTTCCCGCATGAAATTTTGGGCGATATGTCTTATGCAATACACATGGGTCGAGGGAAGATCCTGACAACCATTATCAAGGTTATTGTATGCACTCTCGATTGATGGGTGTCTATCAGAGATCAAACATAAGTTAGGTTAGGGAGAAACGTAAAAGCAGATATTTTTTAAGAAAAAACTCCAACCTCCAGCAGTCTCCCCTTCAACTATAACGAAGGCTATTGGAAAAATGTTGTTGTTCCCGTCCTGTGCCACAGTCATGAGTAGGGTCCCCTTATATTTCCTGTATAACCATGTGCCATCAACTTGAATTATAGGTTTACAATATGCAAAGCCTTTGATGCATGGTTCAAACGCCCAAAAGAGTCTGTGAAAAATCCCATTTCCACCAATGCAAGTCCTGTCTGGTGTATACGCTGACATTGTCTCCAATATGGCAACAGTCCTTGGAGAGTATTGTTTAAGAGCCACCAAGAATTTTGGAAGTTCCGTGTAAGACTCCTCCCAATTTCCAAACACCCTTTCAACCGCTTTAGTCCTAGCTATCCATGCTTTCCGGTATGAAGGAGTGTAATTGTAACTTTGAACCATATGTGCAATTATGGTACTCACCTTTAAAGACGGGTTGTCGCTAATGACTGAAAGAATCTCATTGCAAATCAATCGAGAGTTGAGCTTGCGATGTTCCTGCATTGGATTCGAGATTATACAAGTGTGGGCTGGACCCATTGATCCTATCTTCCATGAATCACTTCTCTTCCTGAAAGACACTGTTAATCGGAACGGGCACACCTCATTACGATAATAGATCGTATACCGAGTTGGATTTGTTCGATCGACTCTATAATCTGCTGATAAGTCCATGTGATATTGTTTAATTGCTCGGACACAATCTTCTTTTGCACGAAAC